TGGTTACAACAATAAAAACTAAACTACTTGCGTGTCAGCTTAGCTTGCTAGCTTGAAATCTTACCTCGAGGGTTAGACACTCCCCAGATAGCAAAAGATATTAATTCCATGTTGAATTATGGTCAGAAAAGTTGATTTTTGGTTGAGGACAATGACTGATGATGGATCAACCACAGAACAATAATCCAATTCTAGCCAAATAACCAATATTGAAAAGATGTCATTGAATCATTGTTGTTTCATGGTCAAATTCTTATGATTGAAATGCCAATGTCTAATCAATGTTGAATCAAGGTATACTGTTTGTCGTCACCACCCCGTCTCCTCTCTTCTCCCATCCCCTCCCCATTGAGTTCTGGGTGAGCGCATTTTATTACTTGGTGGGGGGGTTATAACATTTTGAATAAGCACCATATTGAGGACAGTACATTGTATTTTTCCTGTGTACATTATCTTATTTGTCAGTAAATACAATTACTTACTGTTTGTATATAGCCTGTTGTCACAAAAACATCTACAAATTACCGTGAAGTGGAGCGGTCCACCCCCTTATTTTTAGACGAGTGGTATGTCCCTACCACAAAACCCTTTCCGGATTTCAACACTTCGGTTTTCTGCTGGATTGTTTGCAACTTGTACCTGTCTGTACTCCGGAATTTAATGCTACTCTGAGCACTTTTGCAGTAAGTTTGGATATATTAATTTTATCTTATCTGTGTTTATTGTTTGTTTATTTTTTGTACTTATGCTGCAGCTTGATAGGTAAATATGTAAACTAACATTGATAAAAATGTATGAATATTGACGTATCCTTATTAATTTAACTCCGTGTACAAACAGAACCGTACAGTTTGTGTTATTTCTCACCGGGCAAAAACGAACAGACCAATCGAGCGCTGTTACTGAATGAGGCTGTGCAAGTTAACCAATCAAAAGTGTACATCTTATGCTCGCACAACGTGATTCAGTAACACGATTATTCTGTTCGTTTTGGCAGAACGCCGGTTTGGCCTACTGGTTGTAGCTCTGAGAACTGACACGGAAACCGTACATTATTTAATATTTCGATGCATTTCGAAACTTCTCAAATTTGTAATCTTTTTTGTAACTGGGCCAAACCGGCATTCCGCCAAAATCAAACAGACCAATCGCGTGCTGTTACTGAACCACGTTGTGTGTCAGCCAATCAAAAGCGTGCATATTGGGTGACTCATACCAAAACAGGAAGAATTGCAGCTCTTTTAGCTGATTTAAAAATATATTCATTTCTCATTATTTAATCAGCCAAAAACAAATATAAAAAGACATTAGAAAATAATTGACTCTCTTGCTCATTTTTCATTCTGAAAAATACACAGTAAAGTTTGGTTGTGCCATTTGTAAATTCTCAGACTGCATTGGTCCTTCTATAGTTGTAGACATTGAGTTATGATGATATTTTATAATGAACAATAACAATATTATATTATAATAATTAACTTGCTTGATGTTATGCAATGTTTCAGCTTGTTTCACCTTGCACATTGCAATGCAGCACATTAATCCCCATCTCTTTTTTTACCTTTTTTCAGAATCACATACCAGTTTCAAGACAGCAGCATTGAAAGAAGAAGAGTCGTTGTRGCCAAGGAAATAGGCACAGTTTATGTACATTTGACTACAGCACCTCATCACTCTAAGATGTCGTCTTACTCCCGGGCTAAAAGACGTAGAGTTAATAAATTAGTGAGAGAGACAGAGCAGGAAATCCTCACTCAGTATAAGTCAACTGTAGCTGCTAAATCAAGAAAAAATCATCTATGTTTAGAGAGCACAGATCCTGTTGCAGCTTCTTCTGAGTGCCTGCTAGATTTACCGACTACTTCAGACTTGCCTCGTTTTGAAAGTATAGCTGAGGGTGATGAAATTCAGCCTGACAATGTTTTTGATAGGGATGAGCATAATGAAGATTTCCTCATGACAAATCTAAAATATTGGGCAACATCCTATTCAGTGTCTTTGGTTGCACTATCCTCTTTGCTGTCTATATGGTCATGTTTTTTGCATTTATTTTTCCCTCTAGACTTCAGAGGGAGCAACATCCACCAGTATGATCCAATGCATTCGGTGCCTAATCATGGTTGCAATGGTAAGTGAGCAAGACTGACATTTGTAGACATTTTCTGATGTATTGTATTAAAGGTTGGATCTTTATTCAGATAATGATCATTGCACACTTTGTTCACTCCACCTCTTTGAATACTTCTGTAAATTCTGCACACATACATGTTCCAAACCTTTCAAAAATGTATGCAAAGATTAAGTTGTATGAATGTTTTACAGGTGGAATCACGCAGATGACCAGCGATGACGAGCAGCTTTTGAAAGGTGAGTCTGACATTCTTTATGTGTCATTTGCAGGATTTTTTTTTGTTTCTCATTTAATGATTTGAACTTTTCTTCTGAAGACCTTGCCATCCACAAGATGACTTCAGTGCTCACTGAAGTACTTGTGGTGGTGAAGGATCTATCCAGAGATGTGCAGTTCATCAAGAAAGAGTTGGCTGAGGGCAACATGACACCAGGTGGTACCCGGGGACCAGCCACCGCAACCCATATGTTCCCAGTCCAACTGCCTATCACCAGTGAACAAGACTTCAATGGGGTGGAGTCATTACTGATGGAAGAATCAGTTCGTCAAAAGATGGTAATTTATTTGACAGACTGAACTGCATTCATTTATCAAATGTAGATTATTTCAATTTTGGTCTTGCTCGTTTTTTCTCAGGGGGAAAAAATGTGTTTAGCTCTTTAGGTACTTGAGCACAAGTTCTTAACCACAAGTTCAAAATGTGTCAGAGCATCTGCTATTTATGAAATGTTTTGAAATTGTTCAAATACTGTATATTGTTTAACTATTGATATGACGAAAATCGGGATCATGGATTATCAGTGCATGGATAAAGTGTAAAAACTAGTTTGTTGCTGTGTGTTTCTAAAACAAATGTCATATTGTTTGTAACACAGTGTCTTCATTTTCTTCTCTCTGATTTAGATTGCTCGCCTGGCTTTGGTTGGAGGCACCAATTCAGATCACCTGATCAGACGGATGTTGGCAACTGTTCTGACCAACACCCTGGCCAGTCGGTTCAACTGGGCTGGAAAGAAAGATAAGCGTTTCTCAGAAAGCAAGAAGCCATTTAAGGACACGACACTACAACACTGCATATTTGGTGAGGTTCCTCCCCTGCAAATTACTTTATAGGTTCAGTTTAGGAAAT